CTTAGTTCAAAGTTATTTCTTATTTTTTTCTTTTACTTTTTATTTTTTAATTAGTAGAAATTTTTGCATTTTTCGATAACTTTGTATCTCGATTATCTTATAACTTATCAAAAAGGTGAAAAGGGTCAGTGGTGGGCTGTGGGTAAGCACCCAATTTGTAGATAAATAAAATTTCGGTATATATGTATATACCTGTAGATTTAGATGAACATCCTAATTTTAATAAAAGGAGTTTCCGACGACCGCATAGTAAATACCCGGTATAATACCGGGAATAGAAATATACTAATATATAATATCTACAATATATATAAGAAATATTGTAGATATACAGTTTGACAAATATAGGAAGATACTTGGGGATAGCACCGGTCGCGCACACGATAGAGAGAGAACGCATTCGGCGGAAGAGAGATGCAGTGACGCTACGAAAAATCTGATTAAAGCAAATTTGTGTGCTGTCCACTGCGCATCGAGGGGCGGCTCTTATTTTATATTTCTCACGTCTCTAGCTATACTTGTTAAGTTGTACTCGTATTCCTGATATTACTGGTATTATATTGGGTATTTACTATGCGGTCGTTGGAAATACCTTTTATAACATTAGACTGTTCATCTAAATGTACAGGTATATACCGGATACCCTGATTTTGTTTTGTTCCCATTGAGTACTTACCATAGACTTAAAATAAAATATAGACTGAGTATCTCATTCATAAATAGCTGGAACATGCGGTCAGACAATGTCTTGTTATTGTTGCGTTATTTTTTTAGGTTATAACGAGTGCGACACGAGCGATAGATAGGTTGTCTCTGTCGTAACGGTCGTTCCCTGACGACTCTGCCGAGAAACACAACACTGTCTTTCGTTTCTCAAGTACACCTGAACGTATCATAGCCGGGTATTTTTTTTTATTTTAATGAAGCTATAATTAAATTAAAAATATATTGTATTTAAACTTTTTTATATTTTATTAAGATTTAGGACAGGTTTTTTAAATAAAAGTTTAGAAAAAACGTCTTAGAGTCCAAAAAGGATAAAAATAATAAAATACACGTTATAGAAGAAATTTTATAATCGAAATTATTGTAATTTTTGAAATTAATAATAAATTATTAATTTTAGTCAAACATTTACAACCCCTAATATTAATCAAAACAGGATCTATTCCACAGATATAATAGAATCGGCGACAGGGAGAGAAAAAAAAATATGATTGTTGTAATTTTTTTTCTGGTTAAGTGATGTCTTATTATGAAAATTAGAGAAAACATAAATCTGTTCCATTAAAGCAAGGAAGGTGATAGGAAGTGGATAAAATGAAAACTACATTTATTTAACTCGGTACTGTCTTTATTATAGCGGGTGCGTCCCAAAAGTGGCTCATCCCCATATTTTTTTTATATTTTCAAATAATAAAACAAGATTTAGTATGTTAGAATATGACATAAATTAGGATTGATTGACGCATTCAATTGTTTTTTGTCACTTCCTGTTTCACCGGAAATGACTATAACTTTTAATTTTTAAACGGCATCCTCGGCATATTTCTACTTTATTCGATAGAAAATGACACTCTGAATAGAATGACATATCATATGCCAACTTTTGACATTTTCGCATATGGTTTAATTGTAATTGTAACACGCGGTTCATAACGACAATTTGACTCGAAATACCAAGTGTGTGGTATCAATATATTCATAAAAAAATGCTTTTTCCAAATATGCTAATGAGTCACCCTTGTTCCATTTGAAAAAATTGACATATGTATGATTAAAAATATGATTTGTACATCTTTTAACCGGCCTAGACAAGACACGAAACCCATTAGACGATCAAAACTATTTTTCCGAGGCTCCTTGAAAACTTAGTGTTTTAACAACACCATGGCACCCTGGATTGAAATTTAAAATACGATTTGTTTTTAAGCGACAATGTCAAAAGTTGACATATGATATGTCATTCTATTCAGAGTGTCATTTTTTATCGAATAAAGTAGCAATATACCGAGGGTGCCTTTAAAAATCAAAAGATGTAATCATTTCGATAAAACAGGAAGAGACCAAAAACAATTGAATACGTCAATAAATCCTAATTTATGTCATATACCTACTAACATACAAATCTGTTTTTTTTTTATCTGAAAAAACAAAAAAGTTATACGGGTGAGCCACTTTTGAGACGACCCGGTATATTAAAAAATATTGTTTCATAATGTAATATCATTTTAAAATTCTTGTATGTTATTTTAGATTCTGAAGATAATTTTAGAGTAAACCGGAATATATTTTTAATAAAAACATTATTAATATTAACAGGGTTATAATTATGATTTTGTTACAATGTAAGTAAGTAAATAATGTAATTTAAGGGAAAAAATTCAGATTTTACATTTTACTAAAATATTATCTAAATAAGCGCCTTTCTACAACAACGCCACTGACTCCCAGTGGGTAAATTGAGAGTTGCCTACGGGTCAAAAGTCGTTTCAAGACTTAAATGGATTATTTAAGTCAAATTTCTTGCAAATTTGGCACTGGCGAACCCATAGACTTAAAATAAAATATAGACTACACTATTTACATCTCAACGCGGACAAACAACCTTTTTTGTACACATGTTTACTTCTGGGTACAGTCGACCGAGCCTTCCTCATCCAGCCTATGTTGTCACGTCTTTAATATTATCAATATTTTTTTTCTTGTTATACACATATATTGAGATATTAATACTACAGTTTAATAAAGTAGGTTTTAATATTCCAGAGATGTATTAAATAGTCCTTATACTACTAAATTATAAGTCGGATACTGTTTAAAAAGGATAAGTTCTTTACAATATGACAACACCGATTAGAGGCGAGGGAGCCTATTCATTCATTTATTACCTTGTAGTACGTGTCGCACGTGTGCGGTAAAGCTTTGTTGCCGCTATCTCCCCGGCTGTATTAACGCATTTTCTTAGCTTGTAGTGCTTAAGTGTTTATTTTATTGACTTTTTCTGTTCAAGAACTATAAAATATGGTTCGCCAGTGCCAAATTTGCAAGAAATTTGACTTAAATAATCCATTTAAGTCTTGAAACGACTTTTGACCGGTAGGCAACTCTCAATTTACCCATTGGGAGTCAGTGGCGTTGTTGTAGAAAGGCGCTTATTTAGATAATATTTTAGTAAAATGTAAAATCTGAATTTTTTCTCTTACATTACATTATTTACTTACTTACATTGTAACAAAATCATAATTATAAACCTGTTAATAATTAATAATGTTTTTATTAAAAATATATTCCGGTTTATTCTAAAATTATCTTCAGAATCTAAAATAACATACAAGAATTTGAAAATGATATTACGATGATTTGAAACGATATTTTTTTAATGATTTGAAACGATATTTTTTAAGATACCGGGTCGTCTCAAAAGTGGCTCACCCCTATAACTTTTTAATTTTTTCAGATAAAAAAAACAGATTTGTATGTTAGTAGGTATATGACATAAATTAGGATTTATTGACGTATTCAATTGTTTTTGGTCTCTTCCTGTTTCACCGAAATGATTACATCTTTTGATTTTTAAAGGCACCCTCTATTCGATAAAAAATGACACTCTGAATAGAATGACTATCATATGTCAACTTTTGACATTGTCGCTTAAAAACAAATCGTATTTTAAATTTCAATCTAGGGTGCCATGGTGTTGTTAAAAACACTAAGTTTTAATCAAGGAGCCTTGGAAAAATAGTTTTGATCGTCTAATGGGTTTCGTGTCTTGTTTAGGCCGGTTAAAAGATGTACAAATCGTAGTTTTAATCATACATATGTCAATTTTTTCAAATGGAACAAGGGAGACTCATTAGCATATTTGGAAAAAGCATTTTTTTATGAATATATTGATACCAACACTTGGTATTTCGAGTCAAATTGTCGTTATGAACCGCGTGTTACAATTACAATTAAACCATATGCGAAAATGTCAAAAGTTGACATATTATGCTATGTCATTCTATTCAGAAATCAATATTATTATTAAAAATTAAATTGTTATCATTTTCTATCGAATAAACCCAACAAACACATTTCTTACGGGCCAGCATCAAACAAATGCCGCATTGCCGGAGAACAGGCACTGGACCGACCCCAAAAAAAAGTACTGGCCCGGACCGTATATGACCGCCCGGCCGACAGTCGAGCCGTATGTCGGCCGACCGTATAAATCGGCGTTGGACCGATGCAACGTCTAAAATCGTATCGTTGGGCCAACGCTGGCTATACGTCCTTAAATCTTATGGCCCTATGGATTATATTTAATATAAAATAAACATTGTCATTCGGGCCAGTACTTTATATAAGGATGTAATGCTAAAAAACGGAATCGGCAGAATGCTGGCCAAACGCAAGGTTTCCGTTTCTTGCTAAACTTGGCAACCAACATCGTTATTTTAAATAGAACACCCGTATATTAGTTTGTTGATTTGTCGAAAACTGTTGAAGAAAGGCATAGGGCATTATTAGAAGTTACATAAAATCTCATGGTCAATTCAAAAACAAACTAATATAAGGGTGTTCTATATAAAAAAAAAACGAAGTTGTCGCCAAGTTTAGCAAGAAACTGCATCACTGTTTTAAGACCCCAGTTTTTAAGAGGATTGGATTTTTGGTTCTCCGTAAACGTCAAATAGGACTTATGAATAACCCTGTATACACTGTGACCAGCTAAAATATGGAACAAATTCATTTAAAAATTATATATCCTGTATATTTTATTTGGTGCAAAAAATGCGCAAGAAAAATATGTTAAGACGTGTTCGAGCACCTTTTTAAAAAATCAATTATGTAATTTTTAAATAAATTTGTTCCATATTTTAGCCGGTCACTGTATGTACTTCCTTGTACGGTGTGAAACTTCTTTTCAGAAAAGTTGCAAAAATCGAACTGTAATATTCTGTATTATTTATTTGTTTAAAAATGGCTATAGGAATAAATAAAAATACATTAGGCTTATGAAGGAAGATATAATATAAATAATTCATTATTATTCAATATACATATTTACCCAGGGCTGAACACAAATAAAGAGAAAAAAACATTCTTTCAAACAAACTTAAAAAATAAAATAAATCGTTTCATCTGAAAACAAGACTAACTTAATAACTTTTTTATATGAACTTACAATAAGCAAAATAAACAACAACTCCTTCTAATAAACTTTGTATAAAAATAAAATAAAACGTTCCATCTGAAAAAAAAAGAATAACTTTTTTATATGAACTTTATACAATAATTATAGCAGATCTTACCATCAAATCAATTAGTATTCTTATTTCTTCTTACTCTCCCACCATCTCTATCAGCAGCATTGCGAAGCCAAGTTTTTATCACGTGTTCGATTTCGTCCGCAGTTCCGTTTTTGGAATTCGGATTTCTCCTAACAGAAGCTAAAAATTATCAAAATTATGCTTTGTGTAAATATGTGTGCATTTGTGTATATACAGGTTGCTACAAATTTGAAGCGGAATATAATATATTCCGATATATAAACCGTAACAGATACAGGGTCCTTTAAATTGGGGCAAAGTTGAGCATTTTCATGCCAAATAAAATGCTGTTTTGAAAGTTAAAAAACTCCAATTACGTTCGCAGTTATACGAACAAAACCGAAAATTGCAAAATCGTTTAATTTTTTTCTGATTTATAAAATTGATCGAGCTTATATTTTAATTTCCTGCTCAATTCCTACCAAAAATCTATATTCTGTCTCTAACACATTTAGTTCTTATGGAAAATGACAATATGTACCGTATGATCGAATAAAATCGGCGTCAGCGATGGCTATGAAATGAAGATCGCTGTCATTTTATATGTAAAATTATATGGGAAATGTCACCGATCGTCATTTCCAAGCCAACTGGACGCCTTTTTTTTCGATCATACGGTATTATAATTGATAATAAGGCCGTATATTAAAAAAAAAAGTTGATATATATATTTTTAAATGTATCTAATTTACCCTGGAATTAAGCTACTTACCTACAATGACCTTAACTACATTTCCAAGCTCTTTAAGGCCACTTTTTTCATTTCTTCCCGTCCAATTTAAATTAAGAGTTAATTGATGTGAAATTAAGCGAGAAAGAATTTTTCTTGTGCATGTGGCAACATCTTTTCCGCCAACTAAACTAAGTTTCATGCACTGGAATTTATACAACTTTATTACATAAAAATGGCTTAACTATATTAAAAGTTTTGATAAGTACTTACAAGAGTTTTAAATTGTTCTTCATTTTCTAATAATACATTTAGTTCTTTCAAATCATCAAAGGTATTTGAACAGTGAATATCATCAACATCAATAAGATTTTCATTTTCTTTAACTTGATTTATTTGTATAAGATGTTTTAAATCTTGACTGATCTTCTCCATTGACTTCATTAGCTCTTTTAAAAGTGCTAAAAGTTAAAATTATATCCTTATTAACTTGGAAAAAATAGTAGGTATAAGTAAAATTTTGGATCTTTACCTGTGGGTTATAATACAGCCACTAGTAAATCCCATAAGATGACGCATGAAGTCATTGTTAACAGATGGTTAGATCCAAAATTTCTCCTATATTATAAGCTTTTAGTCCAAATGACTTGTTTTTCTCCAAGGTTCAAAATTCAACCAAATCAAAATTAAGTTATGCAAATGCAATTATTAGTATAAATCCTATAGGATAAAAAGTGAGCTATGCATTTTTTGACGGTTGGAGAAAAAAATTATGCACGAGAAAAACTAAAAATTTACCTTCATTTGATTTACAAGTATAACAGTTACTACAAGAGTTACTAGCACTGATTGAGCTGATAAATGACGTATTACTACTATCGGTGTTTATATTTGATTTTAATTGCGCCTTAATTGGTTGGTTCAAATATTTATGATTATTTATTACTTTCAGCTGGCAATTTTTTTCAGTGGTTAGTTCTTGTTTTTTATTCATATTATTAAAACCCTTTTCTTTTTGTGACCCTGCTGAATCTGAAAAGGGGATATCCTGAACATAAACAAATTTTTCTGGTTGTGGGATTTTTGGCGGAAGTAAGTCATCTTCGCTACTTCCTGATGAGTACTCATATTCGGATTTTCTGTTCCTAATATAACTCTTACATACACGCCTCGATTTATTATTTTCAATTTCCGACTCAATTTGTGAATTTTCTTCTTCTTCATATATTTTTAATTTATATAAAGCACTGTCATATTTTGCTAAAATGACCATTGCCTTTACTAATTTAAGTAAATATTAACAAAAAAAAATACCTGTCGAATATTTTATGTTTACTGCACAAATTTGGCATTTTTCTGTGTCTAATTCCTCATGGTTCTTAACGGCCTTTTCTCTTTTTGAAGTGGATTTCAAATATGTTGGCCAATAACAATAACAATTTTTGTTTTCCTCGAAAACCCAAGCACTAGAAACCAGAGCCATCGGAATACTTTTATCTTCTGTCGTTTCTTCAGGAAATTCGACGACTAAATATTCACTAAAAACGTAAAATAAAGCTAGTGTTATCTATAAGGCTTCCATGTAGTGGGTGATGCATCATGAAGTGGGACATATTCATTTTATAAAAAATTTTTAATATTTTTTGAAAACCACCAAAAATTGCACCCACAATTCAATTTTGGTGAAATATGATCCTCCCCAACAATAATTAAATTATATACAGGGTGTTCCAAATTATAACGGCCAGCAAATAACTCGCTCATTTGCAAAATTAAAATTTTGAAAAAAATTAGGAATGAATTAAACAACCCCTCGTAAACTACCCCAACTTTTTTGTGTTAATAAAGTACTTTATTTACAAGCAATAAAATCTTTCTAATATGGTATTTTTTTGTTTTATTTTTATGTTTAGAAGTTACAGATTATATCAAATATCAACTATGATGATATGTCAATGGATTCAGGATTAAAAGATCTTTCAGATTCGTGAAAAAAAATATAGGGTGCCACTTGACAAAAAAATTGGCGTAGTTTGGTTTGGTAAAACTAACAATACCATATTAGAAAGATTTTGTTGCTTGTAAATAAAGTACAACAAAAAAAAGTTGGGGTAGTTTGCGAGGGGTTGTTTAATTGGAGATGCAATTTTAATGTACCATTTCAAAGAGTTGTGCTGTGCCTAATTCACCCCTAATTGTTTTCAAACTTTTAATTTTGCAAATAAGTAATTTATACGCTGGCCAATAAAATCTGGGACAACCCCTATTTTATACAATACACAGTTATTAAATATGTAGGTACTTACTTATTTTTTTACATCAAATGCAGATATGGAGAACATACAAATGTTCCATTTTCTAGTGGCATTAAAATTGCTTTTTTAGAAATGTTCTCAGAAGTAACTGTCAGAATTTCTGCAGATTGATTTGAAACTTGATACAATTGTATAAAAGAACTATCTGTTGGATATGTTATAAAAGATTTAACATCATTAAATTTTGAGCCTTCCATTAAAATTTCATCAGAATGAACATAAATTTGTTTTACAATAAAAATATAATTGTTAGTTAAAAAAACACAATTATCGCCAGTTTTAATTGATATTATTTCATTATTGAATTGAAGTTTTTTATAATAAGTCCTATTATCCTTAAAAGCTATTGGTTTTCCAAGTAACTTTTTCCCTTCAAATGTATCTTTTGCAATAAGATTCTTTCCTTCTAGGATTCTATTTACTACTTGTTGAAGACTTTGATTGGATTTTCTGAGCAAACGCTTTAAAGAACCCAAGTAATTTTCATAGGAAAAACAATTTATAGAATTTAATGTGTTATATGTCATTGCTTGTTCAGCAAGATGAACAACAGTGTGAACATTATAGACACAAAATTCTTTACCGTATATATTGGTAGCACTTAAAACAAATTGTTTTAATAATTCAGCTGCATATGCATTATATTTGTTATTTAAAGTGGGGCTTAATAATATAGTTATTCCAAAACGTAATAACATGAAGTTATAAAAAATATGATTTGGTAAAATATCAATTAATAAAGAACTAACATATAATAAAAAATGACGAAACTCTATGGCTTTCCAATTTTCGACTACAGCGATGGGACGTGGTTTTCTGTCCATTTCTGAAGGCCAATAATGTCCTCTGCTGATAATTTCTATACGTCTTTCAAATAACTGTAATTTATCTAATTTAAAACGATATAAATGCCTATTTCAATTTTTCCATATGTCAATTAACTTCTTAACTACCCCTAAACATATACTGTGCATATAATCAACAGGAAATGCAGATATAAAATCTATACCCAATTCTACTAAAGGGCTCTGTTGTTTATGGTAGTCACCATAATCACCATTTAAAAATTTTGCATTTGGTCTACATTCTGCATTTACTTCTGGAAATACAACTTTTCCACAATAATATTCCCCACTTGTAGTGCACTTATCACATCCATAATAGGCATTGTGCCCTTTAGTCCCTTTAATAAATGTCCTTGCTGGAGTATCACAACAAAAGCATCGACAACTAATCTTTAAAATTTTATCAGATATAATTATTCCACTTTCAATATAACATTTAAGGTCTTTTAAAAAATCTGTAAAATAGAGCTCAAGTGGTGGTTTAGTAGAACCAGAAAATATTGCCACTACAAATGGGTGTTCTTGTGGAAAATTAGAAACTTTACATAAAATTGGCCAAAATGATTCTTTAGTGCTTTTATGAATGGGAATTCCATCAACATTAAAATCCAAATAATATGCACTAGCAGGGCCATACTTTTTAAAAATTTTTGTGATTCCTGACACAAATCCAAAATAATAATAGTGCCCATTTCCCATATTTTGAATATAATCTAATTGCCTTGGTGTGCTTAACAAAGTTCTGGCATCCTTTGGAAGGTTTAAAATATTTGGATTAGTAGAAAACCAACGGAGTAAGTCGTTTACAGCGGTATGTGTTATGTTATTCTTAAGCGCCCACCCTTTTAAAAAATTTTTTTTTAAAAATTTTCAAAAATTTCAGGGGAATTATTGTTTAAACTATCAGGGCTGCTATCGACTACATCAGTATGTGATTTTTTTTTATGTAAACTGAATAGGTTTTCATTAAAAATAGAACCTGAAGAAGTTGATGGCGTAGAATAAGTATGGTTATTTGTACAGATTTGTACTATGGGCTGAGGACAATGAGAATCTTCAGAGCCAGTCTCGGAGGTAAAATTTTCAGCTCGCAATTCACCAATTACTTTCTCTACTTTTGCGTTAATTAAACGTCTTTGCTGACGCTTACTTTTGGATTTAAAAGTAGACATTCTAAATGCTGATCTGTTCACAAAATAGTTTCATGTAAGTGCACAAAAATGATTCAAAAGTAGGCATGCAAACTCACCAAGTTGTCACCGTTGTCGGGTAGTTTTTACTAATGTCTAGCAATTGATTATTCATTTTTCCTCAAAGTAGCAACAATCGAACAATACAATAAAAGTTCACAATAATTAAACACTTAAAAAATTACTAAGATCACGAATGATTTAAAACACATTCCAATATTCCAAATTCAAGACACAATAAGCGGCGTTTTTTCTCATTTTTCCATTTCGGTCGGCGTTGGCGGGACAAATTAGATAATTGACATCATTGACAAGAGATACGTCAAACGCAAATTTTAAGAAGAATGGGAAACGCACGTTGGCACGTTGCCGTTCCGTTGATGCACTACCGGTTGTATACTTTAAAATTATTACTTAAATAATGCCAACGTTGTGCCAGCGTTCAAATGCCAAAGGCCAAAATTCAATCATCGGTAACACATAGGACCAATTATATTTTGCCGATGCCGTTACTCAGCCATCGTTTACGGCAATTGGCCGATTATTTACCGATAGTTCGTGTTTGCTGGGAAGTAGAAATATACCGAGGGTGTCATTTAAAAATTAAAAGTTATATTCATTTCCGGTGAAACAGGAAGTGACCAAAAACAATTGAATGCGTCAATCAATCCTAATTTATGTAATTTTTTATTAGAAAATATAAAAAAATTATGAGGATGAGCCACTTTTGGAACGTACCCGGTATAATAAAGACAGTAACGAGTTAAATAAATGTAGTTTTCATATTATCCACTTCCTATCACCTTCCTTGCTTTAATGGAACAGATTTATGTTTTCTCTAATTTACATAATAAGACGTCACTTAACCAGAAAAAAAATTACAAAAATCATATTTTTTTTTCTCTCCCTGTCGCCGATTTTATTATATCTGTGAAATAGATCCTGTTTTGATTAATATTAGGGGTTGTAAATGTTTGACTAAAATTAATAATTTATTATTAATTTCAAAAATTACGTAATTTCGATTATAAAATTTCTTCTATAACGTGTATTTTATTATTTTTATCCATTTTGGACTCTAAGACGTTTTTTTCTAAACTTTTATTCAAAAAACCTGTCCTAAATCTTAGTTACCCGGCTATGATACGGAGAGTTCAGGTGTACTTGAGAAACGAAAGACAGTGTTGTGTTTCTCGGCAGAGTCTTCAGGGAACGACCGTTACGACAGAGACAACCTATCTATCGCTCGTGTCGCACTCGTTATAACCTAAAACAATAACACAACAATAACAAGACAGTGTCTGACCGCATGTTCCAGCTATTTATGAATGAGATGCTCAGTCTATATTTTATTTTAAGTCTATGGTTTTGACGAAGGAGGAAGGAACACACAGTCGCATAAAATCGACATTTTCCCACAGTAAATATATGATTTTTGAACGAAGGGACGCGAGGAAGTAACGCGAAGAAGGAGCGAAGTGTGAGTATGGGGCTTAAAGGAGAGCGTACTTTGGGCGTTGTTGGGTGCAATTACATACATTCAATATAACTCTCAACTTTCCCGGATATTCAACTCTCCCGAAACGAAATTTTATCTCTATATATCTAGCTTCATAAATTTGATCAAAAGCAAAAATGGATTCAAGCATTTCGACGAAACAAGTGAGTAAACAAAGTGCTTGTTACATCATCAAAAAATTAAAAAGACATATACTATGAGAGGATAAAATATAATTTGTGCAATATTAATGGTATACTTTTTTTTAATCAACTAGCGATTAAAGTACTTGGTATAAATAAATAAAGTCTATAAACTAATTTCGATTTTGAAAATAGCTACTGTCACTAGAAACTTGCCATGACGACATCTGCCCTCTTTGTTGCCATTTTATTGAAAAATTGCTCTTTATTCAAAATCTGAACTAGATAGGTATAGGCTAGCCTAATAATAGTTTGAAAGAGCATTTGAATCTGTTTCGATTTATTTTAAAAAATTCAGGTTATAGTATTTGAAATAACAAGGTTTTTATGTAAAATAAATATTTAAAATAAATCATCAATTTTTGGTACCCCTGTATAAATTTAAGGAAGCAATACAATTTTTCAGTAAAGTTATTTCTCTATGTTTAAACTCAGCACAATAATTAATTCTAAAAAGTAATGCACAGGGTGTTGAGAATTTATTCCATTGTAGCATGCATATTTAAATATCTTTAAATATCTCAAAAACCAAAGCTTGTAAACATATTAATATATAATAACCCTTATAATAAAGGCCTTATTTTGTGTCCAAGGATCCAAATATGAAATAAAATACCGGGTGTTTCATAAGAAAAAATATCACTTTGGTGTAAATCTTAGTTCTGACATACCCTGTACATTTCAAAATAATTTTAAATTATGCACATGGTCTTCCCACATATGCCCATAAAATATTTTGTTTCTGCATATTTCCGTTTTCGTATAATCAACCAAGGCGAATGAGTTGCGCTACTCTGTATATAGGTGTTCCATTTAAAAAAAAATATTCGCAATCCACTCACACTTTTTTGAGCCACCCTTTAGAAGTTCAAAGATTTTCCTCAAATACATCCTAATACATACTATGTCTGGACTACAAAATTCATAAGTTTTTTATTATAGGAGCTGCAGATGCCCGACGCACAATTGGGGACCCTACGGGACCCTATAGAATCAAGCAGCCCCGGATCTACAATTTTTTTGAACCGGGGCAAAAAATCGATATACCGCCCCCTCTTTCCAGCGTTTGCAATAAATTAATTTAAAAAACTTACAAATATCTAGATATAGGTAGGCATTTTTCGTAAACAGAACAGAATGAGCCCTTAAGCTTCATTCAGAACCTCCGAATTAATGGAATAAATTAGTGGTTTCAATTAGCGTAGAAGTTTGTTCCTTTAATTTCAATGTAAGCATTCAGTACGTCTAAATTAGTGGTAGTCATTTTCGATTAGTAGAAAAAGTAAACAAACTTTTGACTTTTCCACTAATTATACTTCAAATTTTGCGGGAAATGTAATTTTGGCCATTGATTAGCATCCGTCAAGAGAAATTGTGGTTAGAAATCAAAATTTTATTGTTTTATAATCTAAATATTTGGCTTTCTTTATGGATACAACAATCTAAGGATACAACTGACTACCGCAAGCTGTTGCTAGGATGTTCTATTAATTTTAATTGTGTTTTTTAAAAAGTGCAAAGCTTCATTCAGAACCTCGCAATTAGTGGAACAAATTAGTGGTTTCAATTACACTTTATACTTTTTAGTTTACGATCATTCACAATGTTTAAAAAACACAATTAAAATTAATAGGATATCATAGCAACAGCTTACGTTAGTCAGTTGTGTCCATAGAGAAAGCCTATACATTGAAGCGACTTGCATTAATAACTAAATGATATTTACGATTTAATTTAATAATAACATCTATCCAGAAAAATTTGACTTACTTAAAAATTCAGATTAATATTTAAATAATTGTCAGAAGACTTTTTAGTGCGTTTTCTTTGAATATGATCGAAAAAAATGGCGTCCAGTTGGCTGGGAAATGACGATCGATGACATTTTCCATATAATTTTACATATAAAATGACAGCGATCTTCATTTCATAACCATCACTGACGCCGTTTTTATTCGATCATACGGTTACTTCATTTGGAAAAAAACTCATTTTACCTCAATTTCCTTCTGACTGAAGTGGAAACATTATTATTCGGTAAATAAATTAGTAATAAATCGTAGAATTATGCTTCAAAATTCAACGAATCAAATCCTATTTCCAGAAAAACAGTTCCAGATGTAACGACACAAGACACCACAGCAAGACACGTCTTTTGGGTTTTGGGTTTGCTCGACCGTTCGATTTTCGTTCAAGTACGCCTCTGTTCGTATATTTGCCGAACCATCTTGCGCTGTTGCCGCTTACAATGAACAATCATAGAATCGGTGTTGATGTTCATTTAATTTTTTTATTATTAAATATCTTTAAACATGGAGTCTTTAGCGAAGTTTGATAAATTCAAAATATCAAATACCAACTTTTTAGAAACAGTAAAAATATAATTCAAATAGCCATTTCTTCAACTAAAGTTTTTACGTTGTCTAATGTTAATATCTTAATTCAAAACTAATTAATATTTTAATTTTTATTATACATTATACATTTTGTATAAGTATTAGTAGGTAAATATTTTAATATATAAAAATAATTAGAAAATCATCTATTTTAACATCAATATAATATATCGGGTGATCGGAAAAAGGCGTCAGGTTGACTTGGAAATGAAGACCGATGCCGATGACATTCACCTTATAAGTTTACATATAAAAACAGATGTTCATTTCCAAGCTAACTGTGTCTATGCGTGTATTATAAAACTAATGAATATATTTAATTAGTAAAAAGTCTTTTAATGGTTTATTGAATCAAACAAAAATAACTTAAGTGTAACAAAAGTGTAATAAATATAAATATGCAGCCTAAATTTTATTTTATAATTCTGGATAAACAATAATAGATAATATGTACATATATGTATATTTAAATCAATTTCTGCGACATACCAAGTACACTTAACACTACGTAATTCTACACAAATTAAAACGTAGAGAAAAAATATTAAAAATAGACATAGAAAAAAAATAGAAAATAAATTAAATTATTGTTTTTGATAAACTTTATATTTCTTTAATACAAATGAAATATAACAAATTTAATTATTAATATTATGAACACAAAAGTTTTAAATTAACCTTGAAATAACAATATCTTTATTAATACTTAGATACCTAGTAACAAAAATTATTAAACTGCTTAAAAAGTATGCAATACGTATATGGCAACAAGAAACTAAAGAGTGTAAAACTAAAAAACAAAACATAAAAATATGAAGTTTTATATTTTTAATTTCATCACATAATGACATAAAAATAAAGAATATTTTTCGATATGATCATTTTTTTAATATTGAAAACTACAGTAAAATAATAATTTTAATTAAAAATGAATAGCACAAAAAAAACAAATTAATGAATTTATTTTAATTTTGTATTTATATTAAATACATACAAGTTAGGTATCTTTACATCTTTTTACAAATTGGAAGAAAAGATATACCTAACATCAAAGTAAGAAAATAAACGCCTAAGTTTTTGTATAAAGAGAAACTGTATTTTTTATTTAGTAACAAATATATAAGCGTAAAAATATAAGACAAGTTAATTATTATACTTTAGAAACTTATAACTTAATACCACAGATAACAGAGTAGTGAAAAATAGAGTAGGTACTAAGTGAAATAAATAATCATTAACTTGATTTATTTTGAAATAAATAATTTTTCACATGAGCAAAAGCAACTTTGAAGCTCTTTTTCATTTCCCAATTAGGACGGCAATCTCTCAACTCCGTCCATTGAAAGGACATTGGGGGATGGGGCACCCGCCCCTTCTCACCCCCCCCCCCTATATATACGCCCCTGTATTTAAATAAAGAAAGATAAAAAAGTAAGACAAAGTTGCGATATCAAAATATCACTTTATCACTAATATTGCCAAATATTGTACTGTATTTATTATGGATTCTTATAAAATTTACCTAATTTATTTTTATCAATTCATGCTTTACTAAAAAATAGAAAGCAATTAAATATTAAATGTATATCGTAAAGAATAACGTAAAAATAGGGAAAGTCTTATATTACTAATTGTCTTTTGTTACGTGTTGTTATATGATTAAATTTATAAATACTATTTTAATAACAAAAAATTTTCTATAAGTAATGCAAAAATACTGTCTTCTAATGTAGAAACTTTTGTCACTCTGAATGTAATTTTAAGGATAATATCATAGATAACGTGGCAACGCTGTCAGGAGTTCGTTGCATGGAGGACCGTGGCTTGTGGACTGCCTGCCGCTTGGCGTTTTCTCGTTCTCGTGAATAGAATGTCCGAGCAGAGTGCCGTGCCAATGACAGGAATTTAGTTTTGTTTTTACTGTGTTTTTGTGTGTTTTAGCATTGCGTTGGCCGTTTCTCGGCCTAGGATGTGTGCTTTGTGATACTAGTGCTAGTGATTTTAGTGTGTATTTAGTGTATACGTCGTTAGATCACTGTTTCCGTCTATTTGGATTAAACTATTCCCTTCGAACCGACGATCGCGTTCTAGAGACAAGCGTGCACCCAGGATAAAACGGACTTTTCCTCATCACTTCTGATTGGTAAGTTGACAAAATTAGGGTTCCCCATTCATGCTATTGTTGTTTTCAACAAATTAGTAGTTCTATTGTCCATTTCCCATCTGTTTTCATTATTTACTTACCGTTCTCTGTCATTTTTTTGCCAGTCTTGTTCTCTCTCTTTCTAGCCGATAGCATTCCGTTACACTCTGACGCATCGTTGGGGCATATTTTCTTCTTTGTCGGCAGGCGAAAATGCTTACGTTATTCGATCCCAAGGAAGCCATCTTGTAATTGTGGCTTTGACAGATTGTTTTCATTTTTTTTCAGGCCTATACACATTTCCAGAATTGCCGGTGATAATTTCGAAACAAAGAAACGCTGAGTAAATAGTACTAAACAAACTAGTTTATGCAAATAAATTGAACCATGTTTTATAACGTTTGCAGTCTAAATATTTATAAAACTAATAATACAAAGTAAATGTGCATAAATTAAGTTAAAATTTAACTTGTGCTTACTAAATGTAAATATCTACTAACGATGTAGGCAAAGCTGACGTGATATACGTGGTATGGATTTATATCTGAAGGATTTATGCAACATAGCGTGTGATAATCTTTTACAGTTAATATGGGATTAAATGTCAGCGATAAATGGTATAATGCATTTAAAGCCTAATTTGAAATATAATGGCTTTAAATTTATATATAATTATTTATTGTAGTTGGGGCCATTCAATTATTACATTTATGCAGGTAGGAACATTAACGAAGTACCCATTTGATGGGGAAAACTGCAGTAGGATTCTGTAAGCTCCGTAGCAAGAAATTTCCTGTCTAGCCTATGCTATTTGTATACGATTGATGAGTCACTAGACAAGAGAAGTGTTTACAGAATCGGGCCTCTGAGTAACTAAGTAACGTCAACCGAGACGCCAAAAAAGAGATCCATTCAGGTATAAAGATTAAAAAAACAAGTAGGTATATTGTGAAAACATGATTGGAACTTATTTGGGAATACCTACCTTAAAATTTTAGATGGAATCAACAAGCAGTTATTAAATCTCATGAAGAGATTTTCTATACTACCTACTAAGTACATCACTGTATATTAAAACTGTGGTACCATACTGTCGTAGAAAATGGCCTCAAAGATGGCTTGGTAGTAAAGATTTCTGTTATTTTATATTTAAAATCGACTGTAAAATTAGGTAGGTATATGAGGATGTCTCGATCGTCATTGCAAAGCCAACTGGACGCCGTTTTTTTTCGTTCATACGGTGAAGTAAGTAGATAGAAATATGAAAAGGTTTTTAACATCCTAAATACCGTATGATCGAAAAAAACGGCGTCCAGTTGGCTGGGTAATGACGATCGATGACATTTCCCATATAAATTTACGTATAAAATGTCAGCGATCTTCATTTCATAGCCATTGCTGGCGTCGTTTTTTTTTCAATGATATACCACCGTATGATCAAAAAAAAAACGACGCCAGCAATGGCTATGAAATGAAGATCGCTGGCATTTTACATGTACACATAAATGCGGAATGTCATCCATCGTATTTCCAAGCCAACTGAACGCCTTTTTTATCATACGGTATGCATATAAAAGAATTAAACCACAATCAGACTTTTTAAAGTGATCAACTCGATCAAGCAATAGAATACTTTACCTACTAATACCTAAGTACTTAATGAAATTATAATATTTAAACATAATATCAATTACATTACATCTTTATTTACATCATTACATCTCCTATTTATCTACTATTTTTTTTCTACTAAAAGAATGATGTTAATGTCAAATGGATATGATAATTTCTTATAGCTGACAATCGCCACGTAGGTTTCTTAGTTATTATTCAATTGTCGTCTTATTGAATAAAGATTTATGTTGGCAGCAAATAAAAGATTTGCCAAACAATAAATGAATTTTAAGATGTGCTGAATAGTCTAATGTGTCACTGATCGAATCCGAATTATTTGGCAACTGTTTAAATTGACCCTAGGTATTTTAGTAGACACGTTTTATATTGAGAACTATCGTATTGAATGAGGACTATTAATACACGGATACAAATATCCTTTTAATTAAAAGTAGTTATACTCTTGTCCCCAAAGCCTTATGACTTTCATATACATTGTCGATGTTCTCGTATTTTAGTTCAACAAATTTCTTTATAGGTATGCTCGCAGATATGCAATATTAGTATGGGTTTGCTATGTAGAATGAGTGGAATGGGTGTTAATCACCGCGACCTTAAAGATCTATTATGTCCCCTTTCTTATAACCGAGGTTATAACTGATCATTCAGTCTATAACTCATCATACAGGAGGATTTTCCTGTTTTAGGAGGGACAGGATATTTCGCATCCTCCTTTGACAACTACTGTTCATCCTCTGAGGAGTGGACATCTACCTCCTACGAGGGTATACACCCTTCCACGGTTGGGATTTAGCCCTCCGCGCCTTTCACAGTCGAGGAGCTTGTCGTACCCGGCTGAGGTACCCTTGAGGTGGAGGCTGGGGGATTTGTCTCCATTTTCTTCCGTCTTTAACTTGGTATCTCCTTAGATCTGCTGCCGGCGTCCGTCGGCGTCGTCCCGGATCTATAATAGAGGATAAATCTCTCTTTCTGTATTGCCTCCTTGGATATGAGCGTGATTCTTATTGTGAGGACCTGGCTATGGCCCACCTCTCTCGAGTTGATGACTCGCCCTCACTCCTTACTCACGCATGTTCGAGGCCGGATGAGAACGGATGATCTCATTCAGTCCTGATATCTCGTTAGTACCAGTCGATAGTTTTCCAACAGCAAATACTTTTTTACGGACGACATTTTTATCGTAAGCTATCACACAACTAATAACATAACGCTCACCAATATGAACACGACAACGCGCCACAACGCACGCGATGACATCGCTAGAGCGGCATCGCGCAACGCTCGCCGCCCAAGCGGTGCCAATGTGAACGCACACTTAGGCTTAGCACATCAACTCGAGGGAGGAGGGTCATGGTCAGGTCCTCACAATAGGAATTGACCTCAAATCCAAGGAGGCAATAGAGAAAGGGGGACATATCCTCTATTATAGATACGGGACAACAGCGGTATCAGGTCTAAGGAGAGACCAAGTTAAAGAGGTGGAGAAAATGGAGACAGATCCTCCAGCGTCCACCTCACGGGTTCCTCAGCCGGAGGCAAGCTCCTCGGCTGTGAAGGGCGGCACGGAGGGCCAAACTCCAACCGTGGAAGGGTGTGTACCCTCTGAGGAAGAACTGTTGTCAGAAGAGGATGGGAAATACCCTGGCCCCTCTACAACAGGGGTATGATGGGTTATAGACTGTGTGATGACTCAAGGAAGGGGGGCACAATAGATCTTTAAGGTCGCAGTGATTAACCCCCCTCTTACTCATTCTATATTCTAGGCTTAGCACGAGCCTCAGCAGTAAAAATGAGACGTTAACTTAAAATATTTTACTTTTTATTTTATGCAAAATAAGGGATACATATTGTAATTCATTTAATATTATTTTGAACTATTGTGAAAGACATGGATAAAAGGAAATAAAAACAAAAAAATCGAATCTTCAACTAACCAAATGACTGATCTTTGAAGAAACTGCAAAAATTACAAGCGAAAAATAAATTAGCATAAGTAAATTACAAATATAAATTACATGTGTCAGTTCTTCGCTATGTAGGTATTGCACAAGAAATTGATAATTCCTAATTTTGAGGATGTGGTCAAAGATTATGGGCCTACGTATATTTCATTTCAGTAGGATGTCTCATTAAGGACAGTTTCAAACTCCCTATCGCCGTAGTCTGGGATTTTGAGGGATTAATGACCCTTCGTCGAGGAGGCTGGAATAAGATGGGACTGGATTTCCTTTCTCCACAATCAAACATGGCAGTTTTAGTTGTTTTAGGGGGGATTTGAGTTATTTGAGGATTGTGGTCAGTGTGAGAATCTGGTAAAGAGGATTTCAAAATTCTTTATAGCAACATTAAGTAAATATAATTTGTTCATTTACACTTGATTTTTGTGATTGTATTTGATTTTAGGTTAAGGTATAGCTTATTTGAATTATCTAAATAAATTTTAGTTCAATAGAACAACTCATTATTTATACTATACAAATTGTGGGAAAACAAAATAAATACATCAGAAGGATATGGAAGGCACTTACCTATGAATATGTAAGTTCCCGTCAGCCCTTTGTGGGACATAGGGCTTGCAAGATATGTTTCCATCTGATCCTGTTCTGGACCGTTTGTTTGATCTCTCTCCATGTTTTCCCAATCTCTTGGCTGCAGAGGTTACTGTTTCTTCTCCAGGTATTTCTTGGTTTTCCTCTGGCGCGTCTTTCCTGTGGATTCCATTCAAGTGCCTGTCTCCCTGTGGTCTGCGCAAAATGTGCCCAATCCTGTCCATCCCCACTTTCTTTTCTTAATTTCGATATCTATTTGATTTTGTGATGTTCTTCTCCACAGTTCTTCGTTGTTAATTTGCTTGGGCCAGAAAATTCTCATTATCCTTCGAAGATACTTGTTAACAAACACCTGCAGGTGATCCATGAGACCTGGCGTGACCTTCCATGTTTTGCATCCATAAAGCAAAATAGATTTTATATTGCTATTGAAGAGTTGGACTTTAGTTTTTTTTCTATATATGGATTAGTTCCACACAGGTACAAACATGCCAAAAGCTCTTTGTGCCTTCAAGATTCTTTTCTCTATATCTTTCTCCGTTCCCCCATCGCTTCCAACTATACTTTCCAGATACTGAATTTCATCAACTCTTTCATGGCTCGGAGGAGGAATAGGTCTTGATGAGAGATCTTGACGTTGATTTGAAGACCGACTTTATTAGCTTCCTCTTGGAGCCTAAGAAGTTTTTGATACATATCCGAATGTGAATGAGTAAAGACACATAGATCGTCTGCATAATCTAGGTCTTCTAACCTGCTTAAGAGTCCCCATTGTATCGTTAGTGGTTCTTTAAATGCTCTGTTTAGTGCTACATT